GAACCCTAATCCTCCCTTGAAGAGCTTATATGTGTTTTGGTGCCATTTTGTGAAGGTGTGAAGAAGGAGAAGAAGGAAGAAGCAAGGAGAAGTGTTGTAGTGCAAAGATCCAAGGCCAAATCAGAGTTAATTGAGGTATTTTCGGAGTTCCATCTTGTTATATGCTTTAAACTTCCATTAGAGCTCTCCTAAGAGCTAGTTGATGCTTGTTCCAAGCCTTACACTTGCATGAACGTCTTATTAAGTCGAAAAAGCTATGGATCTGAATGTTGGGGTGTTGTAGAGCCCAGATCTACTGTCTTTTTGGAGTTATATTGCATGATAACCATAGATCTATCCATTTTATGCATCTTTTAGCCTTATTTCCCTTATTCATGAGGTTGTGCACGTAAAGTTGGAAACTTTACGTGGTAAATCAGCTTATTGGACTCAGATCTATCAATTGTATGCATTGGATTCAAACAAAATCGAGTAAAAATCAGTTGCATGGCGGCAACTCGGCGAGTCGGAAGAACGACTCGACGAGTTGGGTCGCGAGTCCCGAAGTCCTTCAGTTTTATCAGTGTCGAGTGGACGAGGTGACTTAGGGAGTGGACTCAGCGAGTTGAGAGTAGACTCAGTGATGGAGGGACTCGACGAGTTTGTTCATACAACTCGGCGAGTCCAAGGCAATCTTCTTAGGATCAAGAACAACTCGTCGAGTCTGTTCATCCGACTCGGCGAGTCGGATGAAGATTGTCTGAGTTCTTGGATCAAGAGGGTACTCGTCGAGTCGATGCCAGACTCGACGAGTAGCAGTGAGTAAGAGTGAAAAGTGAGAGTAGGACTCGACGAGTTGGGTGGTCCAACTCGGCGAGTCAGCCCAAAAGAGAATTGACTTTGACCGAGGGTAAAAGAGTCATTTTACCCCAAGCGCAGTGTTTAGTATTTGATTGAGTGTGTTTATGGACTTGTAGCCGAGGAGATTCAGGAGTAGCCGCCGTTAGCTTTCCGAGCCACACACTCAGCGGCCAGCTTACGAGGTGAGTTTCCTTCCAGTGGGAACGGGTCTAAGGCCACAATGCCGGCCCGTTCAGTTAGCAGTAGTTTCCGGATCTAGGTCCGATGCAGTAGTTAGTATGTTCGATGCTTTCGTGGTTCGAACAGGATTTGTGTGCTATGTTTTATGTGTTAAGTATTATGTGTTCCGGGCCACGGCCCGATGTAGCATGTCGTATATGTGTTATGCTAGTTGATGTGTTATGCTATGCCATGTTCAGTCAGTCAGTTCCGGACTTCGGTCCAATGCAGTTAGTTCCGGACTTCGGTCCGATGCAGGGTACAAGGTCCCAGTCAGTTCCGGACTTCGGTCCGATGCAGTTAGTTCCGGACTTCGGTCCGATGCAGGGGACAAGGTCCCAGTCAGTTCCGGACTTCGGTCCGATGCAGTTAGTTCCGGACTTCGGTCCGATGCAGGGGACAAGGTCCCAGACAGTTCCGGACTTCGGTCCGATGCAGTTCCGGGCTTCGGCCCGATGTAGTGGGCAAGGCCCAATATGTGTTTATGTGTTATTGTATGGTATGTGGTAGTTTGGGGGAGCTCACTAAGCTTCGTGCTTACAGTTTCAGTTTGGTTTCAGGTACTTCCGCAAGCAAAGGGAAGAGCTCGGGGTGACAGCATCGCACACACCACAACATAGCTTTTATCCTGGGGATGTCTCTTGATGTTTTGGATTGATGTAGTATGATACAGTTTTCCGCACAATATTTTATTATGTTTTGGGGATACATCGCGTATGTTTTATGTTATGATACTTATATTATGGTTTTGATTATATGGAAAAACGAAAATTTTTGGGTCGCGTTTTTGGGTCGTTTCAATAAAGTCCCTAAGTATTGCCCGTATAATCGATTTAGCCCTTATATATATTTTTTGCAATTTAGTCCTAAATACCTGTAAACGTAATCAAAACGAGATATTTAATAGGTTAGCCGGTATCTAACTGATGTGGCAGCTTACGTGGAAGTCATCATGTTAAATAACATCCTACGTGCCATTTAAGAGGGCTAAATCATTGAATCGAGCTCGTCTTCTTCAATCTCCAGTCAAAGGAGCGAACGATTAGGGCAAATTGGCAACAGGAAATCGATGTCGAGTTCGTCAAGCACCAACATCAGAACGTGCTATTGTGGAGATAGGGTTGGAATGTGGACATCATGGACTCGAAAGAATCCAGGTCGGAGGTTTTTTGGTTGCCCAAATTACATGGTATAGAATCTTCAAAACTCACTCAAATTCTTCTAATCCTCTAAATTTCCCATTTTTCTATGTTAAAAACATGCATCTTGCTATGTTATGTAGGATGAAGAGAAGGACTGTGGGTATTTTCGTTGGATTGACCCACCACTATTGAATAAGTGGTATAAAGAAAGAATGTATGAGTTAGGAGCTGTTGCTAATGGGGGTGTAGCTATTCCTTTTAATAACCCTGTTAATGAAGGTGAAATACCTGTTGATGGCCCTATTGCCCCTGTGAATGTTGATGTCCCTATTGCCCCTGCGAATGCTCTTGAACCTGATAATCAAATTGCAATGTGTGACAATACACATGTGCCTAGTAATGAATTTGGATTCTGCAAGTGGATGATGGTTTGTTTTGTTTGTTTCATTGTAGGGATGATGTATGGTTAGTTTAGTGTAAGTTGTAGGGTATTATGGTATGGTAGGGATGATGTAATCTTTTGGTTTGTTATCATGATGTAATAGATAAATGTTGTTGTGGATCATGTAATGTTTCGGTTAATGAAATGGCAATATGTTATTATGGTTTGCATAAATGGTGTACACTAGACAAATATAACCATGATTTAACAATTGGTGTTGAATTTGGGACTAAAATGATCACCATTGACAACAAACCAATAAAGCTCCAAATCTGGGACACAGTTTGTCTCCTTCTTTTCTTCTATACCTTATTCTCTTGTTACATTTATTATAAAAAGAAATCTTAAAAAAATCTCTTCTTTTTTCTTTATATATTTGTTAGGCTGGTCAAGAATCATTTAGATCAATAACAAGATCTTACTACAGAGGTGTTGCTGGTGCCCTTCTTGGTTTGCATAAATGGTGTACACTTGACAAATATAACCATATTAAGGGCATTCACAATGTTTCAATGTGGCTAAAATAATTAAACAACAAACTCCAATATGTCATTACCAACCATGTTAAGGGCATTCACAATGTTTCAATGTGGCTAAAATAATTAAACAACAAACTCCAATATGTCATTACCAACCATGTTAAGGGCATTCACTATGTTTCAATGTGTTTACAAAAGATGTACAAAATATGGTTATCAGTAATTTAAGGGCATTCACAAAAGATATACAAAAGTAGCATTCAAAAAGAGGCACAAAAGTAGCATTCACAAAATATGTACCAAAATACCCTTACTACCCTTAACACCCTAACAGTCTAATCCAACTCCAATGCTGAATTTGAAGAAGTCCCAACACATCCCATCTTCTTCAGCTTGGTTTTAACAATCCTCTCAGAGGGCCTTCTTTTTTTCACAATCCTAAGGTGTACTGGTAATTCATGGGTGTCATTAATGCCTTCTTCTTCTTCCTCACTTTCTGGTTGTGTCTCAGGGATAATTTCTTCAGCCCCATCTTGTGTCTCAGTCTGAGGTGGATACTCCTCTTCCTATAAAACATCAAGCAATTAATAACATAAATAAATGTAAACATTAAGGTAATATAGAGGGTTTACCATAGACATAGGAAGAACTTGTTCAATAGTGTCATTGTAATCATTGAGTTGTTTCATATGTGAATCTGTCAGACTAAGTGACTTTTTAATTTCTTCAGTTGAATACCCTGATAGTTTCAAATCTTGCATTGCCTTCCATAAATGGACTAAATATTTTTCAGGAATAGTGTCATCCTCAACTTCAGCCACTCCACCACCTTCAACTTCAGCCACTCCACCACCTTCAATTCCAACAGATGTCTTACTACCCCTACCACCTCTTTTACTACCCCTACCACCTCTCTTACTACCCCTACCACCTCTGTTAGCCACTACATCACCTGTGTTACCCACTGCACCACCTTTGTTACCCCCTCTACCACCTATACTACCCCTTGCACCACCTCTACTACCTCTGACACCACCTCTTACACCACCTCTAGTCCAATGACTGATATCAGGATCCAATCTTGGTATACCCATTTTTTTCTTGGGTTTGGGTTCTGGTGTGATCTTAAGGATTCTTACAGGATGCCTTGTTATGACCCCTTTGAAGACAATTTTTGCATTGGACAGTCCTTCCTTTTCCTGTAACCTTCATCTTATTTTGGGAGTATTTGTCTTGAGATTCAGTGGCATGCCTCTTTCTTTTCAGAGTTGGTCTCCCTGGCATTCTTCTAGCTAAAGGGGGTAGAGGCTTTATGTATGATGTTCTAGGCCATAAATTTCTACCATTCACAGGTAGTATATTGTTTGCATATATGGCCTTGAACCTGTCCACATGAAACCACTCACTTATGAAATGAACAGGATCTTGTCCAGTGAATAATATTGCACACTGTGCATGTACACATGGAATTCCTGAGATATCCCAAAGCCTACAACTGCACACTCTGCTTCGTAAGTTAACCACGTACCCTTCTAATCCATTCTTGGCTTCAAAAATAGATGGTCCACTTGGATTCACATTCCAATTCCTACAATGGCATTACTAAATGAAATCATAACAATGAAATTAGAATAATGATAACAAGGAACAATAAAAATGCTAAGACAAACCTCAAATCCTCTCCAAACTTGTTCATTTTTTTGATAGCAGCTGGACAAACCACTGATTCCCACTTTTCTGCCTTTTGTAACATATGGTAGAACCTATCCATCATGTACAACCTAATTTCTTCAAACATTGCTAGAAGGGGTTTCTTTCTAGCATCCAATATGATGGCGTTGAAGCACTCTGCAATGCCATTTTCAACTGCCTCACATGCTACATCAGTCCTAAAAAATGCCCTGCACCATGTGTGAGGATCTCTTGCGATCAAATGTTCATAAGCATTTGGATTAACCTCTTTTATATCATCCATTTTCCTGAGAAATTCACTCTCTACAGTTGATAAGGAAGCTGCCCAGAACATATTCTTGAACTCCACTCCAGAATAGGTCTTCCTAAAGTTAGCATATATGTGTCTTGCACACTGTCTATGCTCCACATTTGGTAGGACTTCTTTGGTTGCTTCAAGCAATCCCTACAATTTAATGAATACATAAACATATAAGATGATGTTAAGGAAAAATCATAAATATGCAAAGAAATTACAAACCTTATGTTGATCAGAAATTACAGTAAACCCTCCTCCATCTAGCAGATTAAGATCCTCTGTGAGCAGTTCCAAAAACCATTTCCAATTAGCTTTGTTTTCAATGTCAACAACTGCCCAAGCAATTGGATAAACTTGGTTGTTTGCATCCCTCCCTATTGCTGTGAGTAATTCTCCTTTACATGTCCCTTTCAAGAAAGATCCATCTAGACCAATTACCCTACAGCACCCTATTTTCCAACCTTCCTTGATTGCTTTAAAACACAAATATATCCTGTGAAAGTATGTTGTTTGATCTGGATTTACAGTGACGCCAACTTGGACAGTGCTACCAGGATTTGACCTTAGTAACTCATGGCAATAGTCCCACACCCTAGCATAATGTTCTGTAAGTTTACCATCTATAATGGTCATTGCTCTACACCTTGTTCTGTAAGCCTTAGACCAAGATACACCACAATGAAATTTGGTCCTAATTATTGATTGCATCTCCTTACACTTCAAGTTAGGTTTCATTATCAACTCCTTCAAAAAGTGTCTTGCTAGCCATCTGGGACTCAGTAAATTTGAAATATTGAAATTTCTAACACATTTGTGCTCATCGACTAAGGTTTTAATCTGAAAAGACCTTTCTTGAGTCATCCAGGAAGCATGAACTCTGAATGGGCAGGGTTGAGACTTCATCTTAGAACCACATTTGGCAGTTAATCTCACAGTGTCACACTTCGCAAATTTAATGTTATACCCTGACTTAATAGCATAATTAGTGAGACATTGTTGCAACTGATGTGGTGATTCATACCTTTCACCAAGAAGGGGCTTCATCTTATTCCACTTAACTGATGGGTCGTGAATGCGGAAGCCTGCACCAACCGCATCTCCCAAATCAAGATCATTAGCCCCTGCTATGTCATCGATTTCCTCTTCTGAACCAAACCCTTCTTCATCTTCATCAACTAAGTCATTGTCTTCATCGACTTCATTATCTTCATAATCAGAACTGAAGTTAAGGAAAGCATCCTTGCATCTCTCTTTACCCTGTGTCTTGAAATCATCTTCTTCCATTTCCACATCTATGTGCTCAGTATCGAGCACCTCGTCATCATCTTCGTATTCTTCAGAGTCGTATTCTTCAGATGACTCATGGCGAACTTCTTCTGATTCGACAACCATTGGGTTTTACCTTCGTTTCTCTCAGTAAAACCTTACTTCCTTCGTGTATCACTCTGTAAAAACCCTGTATTTTTCTCTCAATCGATTTACCAGACGTCGAATGCAGTGGAAATGGAAGGGTAAAACTCACTTGTACACGTAAGGTTCCACATGCGCAAAACACCGGTGGGATACCGGCTAACCTATTAAATATCTCGTTTTGATTACGTTTACAGGTATTTAGGACTAAATTGCAAAAAAATATATATATAAGGGCTAAATCGATTATACGGGCTATACTTAGGGACTTTATTGCAGTTTTTCCTATATATATATATATATATATATATATATATATATATATATATATATATATATATATATATATATATATATATCTTATATTTTCAATTTTTACGTATTCACATGTATCTGATTTTGTTATATATTTCAATCAACTTCAGACTTTAACTTATGATTTTGACGTATATAAGTTCCCTAAAAATATTTCTACATGAATTACCGAATCCGAGTACTTCCCGAGTACTTCTGAGTACTCGGTACTCAGTAGTCGGCCGAACAGGTACCGAGTAACGAGTTCTACAACCATGGTTGTTAGTTTTTGAGACTAGCTTGAATAAAAAATAATAAGGAATAAATTGATACGAGTCCAAAATATAAGGACTTTTATGGAGTTTGCCCAAAATAAAACACATAAATGAAGAAATAAAAATAATTGCTCTCTACCATATATACTAAGATCTCAACATAATATTCATTACATAATGTAAATTGTATTACTCATTTGTTCAAAATATCAAACCAACTAACAAGATGTGAGGGTCATGGCCAATGATGGACAACTAATTAGTGAATGGATCAACCAAGTTCTCATTTGAACGGACTCTAAATACAATGTCTCCCTCTTCAACAATCTTCCGAATATAATGATATTTTATGATTATATGTTGTGTGCATTTATGTGTTGTATATTCTTTAGCTAAAGCGAATACACCCTCGTTGTATGCATTTATATGTTATGATTATATGTTGTCATGTTTTGAAAGCCATAACATATCATAGAATAGGTAAACTAGATGTCATGCCCCTCCGAGAATGTCTAGATATCTCAGTCATATCAGCTTCTTGTCTTTGGAACCTGAAGGACCTACAACTAAAAACATAAACTAGCAACTATAAGCCTATGACTTAGTGAATAATCAAAACATTCACCCATTATACAGATCATATGAAATACACATAATAGCACAAAACAACATCCAATAAGTCACATATTACTTTAAAATCTATCACATAACATACACTAGCATACTCATAACGACTATGAGAATAGAACTTCCCTCCAAGAGGCTATTCGTGATCATACATATTGCCATGAAATAACTAGAACTTCCCTCTGAGAGACTATTCTTTAGTTGGACTAGTCATCCTGATCACACTTCCTTCTAAGAGGTTGTGCATGGTCGTACATACTATCATGACACAACTAGAACTTCCCATTGAAAGGCTATTCTTTAGTTGGACCGATCACCGCGACCACACTTCCCTCCAAGAGGTTGTTCGTGGTAATACATAACATAATCACATAGTCCACATAATAAGAAAGTTGGTGAGAATTCACCTGAACAACTAATAAGATGTATCCATACAAATGAGGTAGGTGGCAAATAAATTTCTTTGAGCCACTATACAAATATATATATATATATATATATATATATATATATATATATATATATATATATATATATATATATAAAATCTTAACTAGCAATTAAGGTACGCTACTTAACTTTCCTTCCTATCATATTCTTATTCGACTATTGGTTAAAATACTCACACTCTTGGGTAAAAGACATTTTTTAAATTTTTCGAGATCACAGTTTTCATTTTATTACATATTTTCACCATATTAACTTAGTTATTTAACTAGGTAATTACTCCATTAAATGTTAAGTATTCTTCTACACGCTTTTACACATAATATATCAATTTACCAACATTTATCATACTAGTGATTATTCACATGTTTTTCTTAGTATTTGAACACTTTTACATATCACTAACACACATGTATTATAATGATCATTACTTAAACATACTTTACAGAAATACACTTACATATATATATATATATATATATATATATATATATATATATATATATACATACATATATTCGTCTTTTTATACATATATAAGGGTATTAGTATGATCTAAAACATAATCCTACTGTATGCACACAAAACACATACATGAACCTAATCTCAAACTCTACGTTATTGTAGCCTTTTAATCAAAACCCATGTTTATATTAAGCTAATATGGACATGTAGTTTGGTTATAACATTGTCAGTTCAGTTATAACATCCAGGTATGATTTAGGATTAAGAGAATAAATTCATATGGTTTTCAAACCCCACAAATCAACTCATCATCTCCATGGTGGAACATCGTCATATACGGTGAGCTAGAGCTCGTTTTGTCTCGATACGAGCTTGCTACAAGGATGAAACAAATCAGGGACATCACAAGGAAGATCAACCAAAAGAGTTAAAGGTCTAGAGCATGGCCCATGTTGGGAATTATGCAAAACATATAATCTCTATGTGTGCGTGCAACCCTACTGCTTAATCTATGTTTTTTCTAATTGAACATACAACTTTGAAAAATAAAAATGGAAACCCTAAAACACTATCATATTTTTGAAAATACAAGTAGGGTTAGGACAAACATACATTGATTGCTATTTAGTAATAACAATGAAAAATCCTTTTGTTGTTGAAGCATTGAGAGTAAGCGTCACAAATGTCATGCCTCTTGTGGTTTACACCCAACTCTACCAAAGGAAGATGATTGAGAAAGAGAAGGGAGCTAGAGAATTCGGCTTGATCTTCACAATAATAGATGGCTGAAAATTCTACGGTTAAGGCTGTATTTATAGTGCTATCAGAATACCCTATATAAGCCCAAATCCAAGATTATCTTAAACCGGGTAATTATCTATCTTGCTTTTTATCCATTAGGGATTATTATAGAATCCCTTAGGCTCTATGAAACTATCCAAGCCTTATGGAGGGTTCTAGATTGCGTCTTGCTCAACTATTAAATAATTGCACTTTAGTCCCTACACTTTTAGTTAATTCTTTTAATCCCAAAATTAATTCTAATTAACTTCTGATTAAATATCAACTAAATATTACTATTTCTAATTAATCTATTATTCTCATAATACACTTACAAATTATTTACTTCAATTTATTAATCAAATAATAAATCAACCTCTCTCTTATAGCAACACATTATTTCTAATTTTTGTGTCTATTTGTCACCCTTTAATGACATTCACTTATGTTAGAGCGTGATATATGACATCATTTAGTCACAAAAAGATAACTCATAAAGAAAAGAATGTGACCATTGTGTGTGGTTGGTGATACCTAATTGTTAAAACCATCGTTGAATATTACTTATAGTAACATTATTTTTTTTCTAAATTATGTAGCTATTTGTTACCCTTTATTGACATTCATTATGCTAAAGTGTGACATATGAAATCATTTAGTCACTTAAACAAAACACATGAAGAAAAAATATGACCATTGTTCACTTTTAATGATACATAATTGTTAAAACCGTTGTTAAATAGAACGTAAAAGAACATATTTTTTCTAATTGATGTGTCTATTTGTTACATTGAGTGACATTTATTTATGTCAAATTTTTACATATGATATCATTTAGTTACATAAAGATAACTCATAAAGAAAATAATGTGATCATTATGTGCTTTTGGTGATACATAATTGTTAAAACCATCGCTGAATAGTACAAATAACAACACATTTTTTTTTCTAATTGATATGGCTATTTGTTACTCTCTAAAGACATTTATTTATTTTCTACTGTGACATACGATATTATTTAGTTACATAATGATAACGCATAAAGAAAAGAATGTGACCATTCGGTATATTTGGTGATACATTATTATATTCATAATTTTAATCAAATGTGATTGATTACTGTTGAAAAAGTATATTTAACAGAACTTTAATCATATGTGATTATGTTAGATAATCACATTTAATTAATAAATTTTGAGCATGTGATTAATTAATATGATTTTTTTTGTAAGTGTTAATCACATATGAATAACTTACTATTCACTTCCTTGTAAGTTGAAGAGCCCTTCATCGAGAATTTCTTCATCAGATGTTAACTTTGTCTTCAATGAAATGGCTCGTTCTTTATATGGAGACCTCCTTTTTCTACAGGGTTCGTTTTTCTCTTTTTACGAGGCTTTTCCATGAGATTTTCATTATTTTGAATTTCCAGGCCACTTTTTTTTAAATGATTTTAATTTTGATTGCTTTTTAGGTTGAATTTCTTGCACTAGAGCTTCCTCTTGTACTAGAGCTTCCTTAGTATTGAGGTTTTCTGGTTGGGTATTTTTTTATTATTTATATGTGATTATTATTGTCATAAATTTTATAATGATATGTAATTATATACATAACATGAAATGAAACTAAATTAAAAAAAACCGATGATTACTTGTAATCACATTTGATTTAGCATTTAAGAAATCTTGAAATCATATGTGTTTACAATTATAAACATATGATACTGTACAAAACAAAGAAAAAAGAATAAATATTACCTCTGTTGGTGTGAGCTAGGCTATGTTCAGATCATGATGGCATAAAACTTTTTTTTTTCTTTTTTTCTGTGTATTCTATCATTGTCTTTTCATAAATAGAATTGACCCCATCATCGTTTAGCATTTGGGAATCTTAGATTTGTTATGTGTTAGCAAGAATACTTGTCACAACATTTTGTATTGTTTTTTCAATAATATATGTGTTTATATTTTCTATAAATACCACACAAATGAAAAAAAATTAGTATTCATAGGTTGTTACAATTATATGTGATTATAACATAGGTTGTTACAAATGTATATGATTATAATCACATGTGATTATAACATAGGTTTTTATAATTATATGTGATAATAATACATGTGAGTGATTATAGTGACATGTGATTATAACATATATTTTTATAATTATAAGTGAACAAAATCA